AATTAATTTGCATTGTTTTAAGCCACAGAGTTTGTGTCATTTGTTATAGCAGCAATAGGAAACTAATATTCTCTTCAGGGCTTTTTTTTTTTTTTTTCCAGGAAGTTGCCTGGATTCCTGGACTATATCTGCCTTGGTCATGTGTGGGTGAATATAGTAAATTCCTTGTAATAACTATAATTGGTTACCTAGGATTGTGATCAGTTCTTTCATTTTTATAATTTGTTGTGCTGATTCAATTCTGGCCTAAAACTTTCTTCAAGCATCAGCTTTTTACTCATAGCAAACATACTTAAACTTTTTCATAGAATAAAGTCTTTCCTTAAAGATATAATAACATAGGCCTGAACTTTTCTCCAGAGAACTTGAGCATTTTACTGAATTACTTCTGTCCTTATTTATAGAATCAGGAACACACTTATTTTCTCCCTACCTCAAGTTTTTACTTGAGCAGTGATGGATAAGGCAGTATTTCTATTCTCAAGAGGCTTGGTCTAATGAAAGGGAGAGATAAATTATAACAATATGACAATAAGCATTCACACAGAGCTATGCAATGCACAGAACAGCATGAACAGGACAGAACGGAATAGAACAGGGGCTTGGGATCTGGACAAGGACATATCCTGCCTCCATCACTACCTATCCACAAAACCTCCACATGTTCAAGTAACTGTGTCACATTTTCTCAACTACAAGGTAGACAAAAAAAAGTGTAGGTTTTGTATGGCTCTTGTGAGAGTGAAATCAGACAATGCGTGTAAAGTAATTAGCACTCAGAACAGAGAGAGCCCTCCACACGTCAATACCCACAATTATTATGCAATGGAAGCACAAGAAAGGAAGTCATCAGCAGGTGCTAACTCCACTGAAGGGGTCTGGGAAGGCTGCTAGGAGATGACAAAAGATGAAGGTTTTTCCAGGAAGGAAGGCAGGGAGGAGTGGGCATTCCAAGGAAAGAACGTGGATATCCAAAATATCCTAAGGCTGATAATGGAAGCCAGTGAAAAGTTTGGAGCAAGAGAGTGACAGATGCATGCTTTAGAAGAATCTCTTGGGTAGCCATATAGAGAATGGATTAGATCTGAATCTGAAGGCAGGGAGATGAGTTATGATGCTACTTGGGTGAGAAATTATGTAAAATCAGTGGAATTGGTGACATGCCTAGTGAAGGTCAGGGAAGTCTAGGACAGAAAGGAAATGTTAGTCTTCAGGATCTTCGCAGCTCCTTTCCCAAGGCTGGCCAGGCTCTCACTGAGCTGTAAAGATGTAAGATTACACCCTCAGTGAAGAAACTTCCCAAGCTGGTGGTTAGATTGATGAGATGTCAGATATTGAGTACTAGAGCAAGAGAAGAAAAAGCAAAGCCTGCCTGAAACTCGGGGAGAAGCTGAAGATTTGGGGAAAATAAACACAGCACCTCTAGGTGTCAGTACTTGTAGCCGCTATAGATCTTTCTCAGGATACCACTCAGGGTTAGTGAGTATCTATTAGCCATGAATAAAACTTAGTGTCTGGCCCAGGAAGACACTGCAGAAGGAAGGAAATACCTAATAAATTATATGGAAAAAGATTCAGCCCTTGTCACTTGCTCTTAATTCCTCCACAAACCAGACAGCAAGACACCAACAATCAGGGCATCTGGACACAACAAATGCCTTGTTCACTGCTTTTCCTTCCTATCCTACCCCATTCTCCGCCCTCTGAAACTCCAGGGGAATTTCCCTAGTTGGTTACAAAGGTCACATATGCATGACAGGGTTTGTTGGGTTTGGGGGTTTTTATTTTTGTTTTGTAAATCTATGTGACAACAAAACACAATGTATTAAATATTAGATCTGTATGTCCCTGTTTTTGCTGTGGTCATTGTTATAGCTGCTACGAAGTGTCAAATATACAAGTCTTCAAACATCTGAACATTCTTCCTCCAATATAACTACGCTTCAGAATTTATATGAGGTTCCATCTAGAATTTTCTTTTGTTCTTGAGAGGCCACATCTAAGAGTCCTGAGACTAACTGAACTAAAGATCCTAAGTTTTCTGCAAAGACTGTGGCTCACCACCAAGAAGCAAGATGAGACATAAGTGGGTCTTCCTCTCTGCGTCAGCTTGTCTCTTCCATCCAGGACAGAGGGGACCATGGCTGCCTTAGAGAATCAACTGCTCCAGATCTCCCAGTGCAAATCTCAGCAACTACTCCTTTACTCACATTCACCCTGGTCAGACGCTGTCTTCTGGATTCACTTCTCAATCTTTTCTTATTACCAGTAGTTTTAAAACCAAACAAAACCTCAGAAGAGGTTTATTACATACAGTTCAAATGAACTCGTCTAAACATAATCACTTCTCAGAGGTCCCATTTCCTAATACCGTCTGATCTCCCAGTCTCAGACTGAGGTCAGGTATATAGTCAGTCAATTGTTTCTTACTGTCATGTAGGGATACAGTGGTCCTCAGTACTTGTAGGAGAAGCCTGAATTCCTACAGAGCCCAGCTTAGTCAGTGAGGCTGCTGGCTCAGGCTGCCAGGCCCCAGCTCCAGGTGCTCAGCAATTCCATCCCACCAACACCCACATTCCAAGAAGCCAGTTGCCCCACCCTGACCTATCAGAGTTTCTCACTGCTCTCCCATGTTAGCTTCCCATCACTATAATGAAATATCTAAGAAAATCAGCCTATAAAGAGAAAAGATTTATTTGGCTCACAATTTTGAATGTTCTAGTGCATGATTGATTGATCTCATTACTTTGGGGCGGTAGCAAAGTAAGACATCATGACAGACGCATATGATGGAGAAAAACTACTTATATCATGAGCCAGGGAGCAAAAGAGAGCCTGGAAGAGGCCAAGGTCCCATGATCCCTTTCAGGGGCATGTTCCCAATGACATAAGGACCTCCCTCTAGGCCCCACCCCTAAAGTCTTCACCACCTCCCAATATGACTGCCCTTGGCACCAAGCTTTGAACCCATGGGCTGTTTGGAAACACTGAAGAGACAAACTACAGTATCTCCCCACCTTCAATTTCTGCTTTTCTATCCTCAAAGAATCACACTTCTTGTCAATCCCTGAATCTCAAAGGGTCTCATTACAAAGGGTCTCTTCCACCTGACAATAGAACCTCCAGCCCAAACTCTTAAAAGTTTGTAGAGGTCAGTCTTCATTGGCTTGAGCTGTTGTAACAAAAATATCATATACTGGGCAGCTTGAATAACAAGCATTTATTTCTCTTGTTCATGGAGACTAGGAAGACTGAGATCAAGAGTCTAGCATACTTTGTTCTTAGTAAGGGCTCTTCCTAGCTTGAAGATGGCTGCCTTGTAACAGTGTCCTATCATGGAGAAGAAAACAAACTCTGGTCACTTCCAATAGGTACATGAATCTCATTTTGGAGGCTCCACTCTCATGATAGCATCTAAACCTGATAATTTCCCAAAGGTCGCACCTCCTAATACCATCACACTGGGGGTTAGGATTTTCACACACGAATTTGAGGAAGACACAAATATTCAGTCCATAATAAGTTAGAAACCAAAAAGGTCAGACTGTAGTTTTCCCATAGGGGAAGGAACTTCTAATCTAAAAGGAGATTTGTTTTCCTCCAAATGTGACACATTGACCTGAGGGTTCTCCCTCTGTAAAGCAAATAAATGGGAGAAACACACATAACACAAGTTAAATCTTCGATGGGGTGAATTACTGGCTAATTTAATACACTGTAGAGTGATAAAGCCTACAGGCTTTGTCTTTGCCATCATCTTCACAGCTGACTCGGCCAGCATGGTACACAAACAAAACCATGAA